CTTCAAATATAATTGCCCGGATCTAATGCAAAATCGAAGATGAGGGTATTAGGTTTGAAGGCTAGCCATTGATCTTTTACCTTTAATACTTTGATTCTGAAAATTTCACTATCCTTGACCCACTTGGTCGGGCCCTGCCTTCTCAAATGAATATAGTTACCTTGTGTCAAATCATAGATTTTCAAAAGGATGTCCTCATTTAAGAATTTAACTAGGATGAAGCCAACTACTTGTGGTTGTTCCCTAATGGCTACCCAGTCATTAATCTCAAGTTTGGATTCTCCTCAAGGGATTCTTATCCAATCCAGAGGAATTAGGTCAACGATTATTTAAAGGTCTTCTCTGGGTGATGGCAATAATGAAGATGTCTATGTGAAATCGATGGGTCAATCTAGGCATTTATCTCCTCACTCCAAATGTCTTTAATTCTTGTGATTGTTTTTCTAATCCATCCCCTCCATGGTGAGTCCATGCAGTGAAGTATATACCCTTGAGTGTTCCTGATCCATCTATTCTCAAAGAGGGCTTGTTGTCGCACCTCCTCCCATCTATATGGAGAGAGTTTGTATGTCAATGGTAACTTTCTCCATGTTTTGAAAAGGATAATAAAAAAATAATCCTTATTAAGATCATTTCTTGTTTCTTGTCGATCTGAGATCACTTGTTTTGATATAGCTTTGGTGAATCTTTTAGGTAGGGGCCATGAGCGGTTTTCTAACAACTGACACATCTGATTTAGTTGGTCGCTCCTTTCCGAAGTAGGGGAACTAACCTTTTCATTTGTTCCCATGCCAAGTCCGACTAAGGGATTTGAGGGTTGAAGAGTATTTTTTTTATCCAGCTGTGTTCACTGTGAGGTTTGGCTGTGCTGTTGGTGTTGCCTGGTGCTTCGCTACTCTGCTTCATTGCCCCGGATGGCTGTGTTGTTCGTATTGCCTTGTGCTTCGCTGCTCTGCTGCATTGCCGGCCATCCGCATGCCTTGCCCTCCGCGCCCTTTCCTTGCGTATGCTGTGCAGTTTGCCTGCCTTGTTGGTGTTGCCTTGTGCTTCCTGCACTGTTGCCGTGCTGCACATCCCCTTCCCCGTGCCGTCCTGTGTAGGTTGCCTGCCTTGTTGGTGTTGCCTTGAAACAAGTTTTCTGGTGACCAACCTTCAACGTGCTGATCTCCTACCTCTGTATTCCGATTGGAATGAAGAAAGTCACGTCCTGGTAGCAACAAAGAAACCCCCTCCTGAAGCGACCGACCTCGCTAGCTTCACTGCACTGGTTTCCAAGTCTTGTGTGTTTGCGTATTGACTACCCCCTCCCACCTACCCCCTGCCCTCCAGCCTACGGGCCTCGCTCCACTACACAACACTTTACATGCATTTGGACGCCTCTTGACCGGATACATTCACAACGTTGGAATCATCTGAATGCACCTGGTCCCTAAAGCGTCCAAATGCATGTAGTGTTGTGTATTGGAGCGAGGCTCTATGTTTCACCTCCATGCTTTCGCCTTGCTGCTTTTTTGCCTGCTTCTGTTGCTTGTTGTCTTTTCCCTGCCTTTTGTGTTTGTGTGTTGTCTGCCCTCTGGCCTCCCCCACACCCTCCAGCCTATTTGTTGCTAGCAATACTGTGTTTGCTTGTGTGTCAAAAGAGGAATGTCGTCAGATCATCCCGTTCATAGCCAGTTTGTTGAGAAACAACAGCAGTTCATCCAACGGTTTGAGGTATATGCTCATCATAATGGCGCACCAGCGCCCTCTGTGTACGGAGCCATAGCGCAGTCTGCTACGGACACACACACACACACACACACACACACACACACACACACACACACACACACACACACACACACACACACACACACACAATCATTTTTATGCCTGTCTGTTTTCCCCCTGTCATTTGTCTTTCCCTTACTTTTTGTGTGCCCAATTGAGCACCTTTAAGTAGTGCCAAACAGTCGGTCATTCCTTGTCTGGATTGCCTACAGCACTCTTAGGGGAGCGCTCGGTTGGGGATGTCTGTGTTGCCTGTGGGTGATGATGGATGCTCGTCGGAGTGTCTCCCTGGCTCAGCGGGTGGTGGGAACCAACAGTCTGCGCGGTTCAATCGTGATGTGAGTCGGTCATGTGCTGCTTTGCTCCGTGTTGGATGTGTGGACTGCCTCATCTGCGCTCCGCTTCTGCCTTGCTGCCTGTTCTGCTTGCTTTGCATGTGGTTCTCTGCAAGTTGATGTGTTCACTGTGTGGTGTGGCCGTGTTGTTGGTGCTGCCTTGTGCTTCGCTGCTCCGCTGCCTTGTTGCCCATCCGCTGGTCGTGCCTTCCGTGTTTGCCGCTTGTGTGCCTTGTAGGTTGGTTGCCTTGTAGGTTGGTTGCCTTGTAGGTTGGTTGCCTTGTAGGTTGGTTGCCTTCTTACTGGTGCCTTGTGCTTCGCTGCACGGTTGCCGAGCTGCTGGTCCGCTCCCCCTGTCACCCCTTGCAGTGTGGTTGCCTTGCTTGTGTTGCCTTGTGCTTCACTACACCCTTGCCGCGCTGCATGTCCTGCATGCCATGTCGTTCCTTGCAGCCGTTTTTTGCGTTGTGCAGCCGTGTTGCCTCTACTATGTTGCCTGGTACTCCGCAGGGTTGCTGCCCGCTGCTATGTTCCACTTGGTTCCGCTTGGTTTCGCTTGGGAACAGTCTGCCTTCAACAAGGATCAAAGGGTTCGTGACCCAAACTATCAATACGAAGATTCCGCAGATTGTCAAGGGTTCAGCCTCGTGATGAGTTGCGGTGCAAAACTCCGATGAAACAATCTATCATCAGTTTTATTTTTTTCGCTTTGTGTTTTTTTACTACTTGTTCTTTTGTCTGCCTTGTTGTCTTGTTGCCTTGCTGCTTCTTGACTTCCTGTCCGTTCTTTTCTTGCTTAGTGTTGTTTGTCTGCCCACCCACCTCCCCTATGCCCTCCATCCTTAGTTTCCTGCCGTTGCTTCACCACCCTAGTGGTACTTCTTGACTTGTTCTTGCCGCCTCATTCTTCTGCCTACTGCTGTTTGTCTACCCACCTCCCCTCTGCCCTCCAGCCTTAGTTCCGTGCTGTTGCTTCACCATCCTACTGGTACTTACCCTAGTGGTACTTCTTGACTTGTTCTTGCCGCCTCATTCTTCTGCCTACTGCTGTTTGTCT